AAGCAGGTGCCTATTTTTTAGCATTCTAGTGGATAAGTTAAAAGGTAGCATGACAACCCCAAACTGTATACAAACCACAGTAAAATGTTTCTATATTTAACAAGATATATTAGCATATAAATTGCCTAAAGCATTACTTTCTAGTCACCAGTGAATAGAATTATTAACAACCTTTGTTTTGTGTGCATCCTTAGGCACTGACCTCAGAGAAGCAGCTCATCTGTGTTGGTATTTGTGAGTTGCCTCAAATGTGCACCTTTAATTCATAACCTACCAATTGTCTGAAGTGTACATTGAGGCTTTCCCAAGCATTGTTTTTTTTTTAAATTGCTGTGGTGAATCTGGGGTATGTAATTGCATATTTTTCTATTAAAAATTGGCCAAGAAGTATTAGTTGAAATACATAGTTAAATATAAAGATATAGATATGAAACTTTCTCTCTGTATCTAAATCTATATATACAGAACTTTTTTCTACAAAATTTCTATATAAAACCAAGAAGTATTTTTTTAAAAAAAAACAAAGTGTTAAAAAATTTAAAACCATGAGCTGCAGAGATTTTGCCTGTGTCTTTTTGTACCATTTTCACAAATAGGTAGTCAACATACACTATTTGTACACCTTTCTTCATTTAATTTTATATGCACACAAAGTTTTAGAATAAAATAAAAATGAAAAAAGGTTTAATATTAAATAATGAGATTATGTTCTTGTTTAGCTTTGTATTTTAGATTACTATTATGAAGAAAAAGGATTTTTACAGGTACATATTTTTTAAAGGAACTAGTTAATTTTTTAAGAGACTGAAATTTACTCCTCAAACAAACCAAATAATGAAGTCACTATATTTATGAAAAGATAAATTCATTAATGTATAAAGCCAATTCAGACTACTCTTAGTCTATGATTATTAACAGTACATGATTCTACATATACACAGTCTCCTACTCAATCATTTGTACTTTTATTTTTTTTTAAAGATTTATTTATGCATACAAGAGCTGGGGCACAGGCTAGAAGTGCAGGGGGTGAATGGATCCACCAGAAACAGAGCAGGGAACCGAACAGGCAAATCGACTGAAGTACACTGCTGAGGGGAGCAGCAGGCAAGTCAGGAGAGGTCTGCCGCGCCATGTGGGCTGCTCCCTGGCCGGCCAGGGATCAAACTCATGCTGCAGAGGCTGTGGACAGCTTCACAGGCTGCTGCTTTTTTTTTTTTTTTAAGATTTATTTATTTATGCATACAAAAACTGGGGTACAGGCTAGAGGTATGGGGAGTGAGAGGATTCACCAGAGACAGAGCGGGGAACAGAACAGGTAGATTGACTGAAATACACTGCTGAGGGGAGCAGCAGGTGAGTCAGGAGAGGTCTGCTGCACCATGTGGGTTGCTCCCTGGCAGGGGATTGAATTGGTGCTGCAGTGCTGCAGATTGCTTCATACGCTGCTTCTTAACCCCTTGTGCCACCAGGTAGGCTCCATTTGTACTTTTAATTGGAATAAGTTATTGGCAATTACATGATAACTCTAATAATGTTTGCCTCAGGATCCTTATTTCTTCATGTATTTATTCATCTATCAAAGGGCAAATAACGTCCTTAAGTATGAATTTCACATGTTAATTTCCAGCTAGTTAAAATAAATTTTCCTTTTTATTAAAGATTTAAAAGAAAGTTTTAGACACAAAAAATGAAAACTTAATTTACTGTACTTTGTAAAGCACAATCTTGAGAAGAAATTAAAGTCAACAAAATCTCTAGAGGTAGTGAAAAATTATTGTTAAAATAAACCTTGAGAATGGTGCCTATTTTATGAACATTTGTTTATTTTGTTTAAATTACGACTGGAGAGAGGAAATCTGCAGTTCAGCTCCACAAAAGAAACAATCACCACAATGAAAGGTTAAAACACTTTTCAAATCAACTAGCAGGATATATAACATAAATCTGATTTCTTGACCCAGAAAAATGGCTAACAAATGCTTAAAACACACCATCTATTGCAATTCAACACTAAATCTTTTGCAATTCAAAATCATATTTGAATTAGGGCATGAGCAAAATAGAATTTCATATAACTCAGCAAATTGTTTGCCTTCATAATCAAATAAAATTTTGCTGACAGGCATAATTTCTAGCATCCTTGTCCTAGAGAGAAGTGAATGTAAAGATAGAGAAAATATATTTTCAATTAAAAAAATGATTAGGAGCTGAGAAAGAAAATTTTCCTTTCCTTAAAATTAGGAAAACTGTGCACTAAATGAATGATAATGGATCAAGGGTCAAATATCCTACTAAATCTTACCTCATCTAAAATCAGCTGGGTTCTCCCCCATGTTTCTAATGTATTCTCTGGGACCCTACTTGGCTGAATTTCTCAGCTAGCCACTCTGGATCAATGCATAAATTTTGCTGACACTGACTAGAGGACCAAGACTAATTTCTTTCAGGTAGTAGGGATATAGAGAAAGCCCAGAAATATTGACAAGGCTAACCTGTCATTCTAATAAATGTGGAAACAAAGAGAAAATGAAGGGAAAAAAGAATGGGGAAATAACTGATTTTAGTGAAGATATCACAGCTTCTAGTAAACAGTCTACAAAACATAAACCAGCCGGCACAGGAAGAATGGTCAGCACCACATAATGGCTAGAAAAACTTCTGCAGTAGCCAAATAGGAAGATTTCAGTCTTGTACCATTATTTCTTCCCCTAGTACAGAGGTTGAGACCAGTGGGTCCAATCTGCCAGAAATTTAACATACTACAAATTTAAGTTCAGAAGCTAGACATCTAAACATGCAATGTGAGAAAAGTTCAAGAAGAGGAAAGTAGAAGATGCTGCAGGGCACATGGGAGAGGCAGCACTTATGAGCAAGGAAGAAAAACTATACTGAGAGAATAGGATGAGTTTAGCCAGGCAAATATCAGGGAAAGGTAGATTTTCATAATTCTGCAAATGCTCAAAGGAAAACTGTTAAAGAATGGGAAAGTAACACAGCTTTGGAGGACAGAGTGCAGAGCAATTAAGTATTGGACACCATCAGGATACTAGAAAATCCTGTAGGCCCTATCAACAACCATGGGAACTCTCAGAGTGTAAGTATGTGATTTAAATCAGTAACGACTGACACTATAAATAATTTTGTGCCTAGACTAGAGGCAGTGAAGACAATTTGGGCTAGCGGGTAATTAAGACTTTTGCAAGATCCGAAGGACTTTGTTAGGGCTTTTAATCATCAGTATACTTTAATACACTTTAGTGTAGCTGAACCTGTAACATCCTGCAGTCTTGGCCTTTTAGTTTTATGATATGGCATGTTTGTTTATGGTTTATCTCTTTTTAAAAATATAATAAGTGCTTATTATATTTTAATAATGCTGGGAGTTTAAACCTCAAATTCATGAGAAATCCTAATATTTTTTTAATTTCAAAAGATGTCAACTTGGCTCCTTAGACATTTTTGATTACTTATCTTATCAATATGAACATTTTAGCATGTACTTCATGCATATGTGAATGAATGTTTGAATATGATTATATATTATATTATGACATACATAATAGTATATAATATCAAATATAAATTATATATTAAGTATATTATAAAACACTTATGTACAATTAAAAGTATATAACATAGAAATTTTTAAATATTGAGCAAAAAAAGAATAGAAATCAGAATTCTCATAGAAGGAAAAGAACCTTTCTAAGGGACTATCTTACGGACCCACTTTGAAGACAACTGTCAAAACCCACATAAAATCTTCCAAATGATTTCTGATTTTTTTCCCCACGTAAACAGTAAATTCTTTTTTTTTTAAATAATAAATTTTATTTTTATATTCCCCATACAATTGCAACCCCCCTATTCTGACCCCAATCCTTCCCCTCCCGCCCCCACCCCCCAAAAAGTGTCTCTGGTTCATAGTTTTTTGTTGATTTTGATTTTCACTTTCTTATAGTTATTCATTTTCCTGGTCCCTTATTTACGTATTCTAGATTCCTGCTATGAATGAGACCATCCGGTATTTTTCTTTTTCTTTCTGGCTTATTTCGCTGAGCATGATCCCTTCCAGCGCCATCCATGTTGCTGCAAATTGCATGTGTTTATCTTTTTTGAATGCTGAGTAATATTCCATGGTGTATATGTACCACATCTTCTTGATCCAGTCATCTATTTTTGGGCATTTGGGCTGTTTCCAAAGCTTAGCTATTGTAAATAGTGCTGCTATAAACATAGGGGTGCAGGAATTCTTTGGAATTGATGTTTCTGTGTCCTTTGGGTAAATACCTAGGAGTGGAATTGCTGGATCCTATGGAAGCTCTATGTTTAGTAGGTCCAGAAATCTCCACACAGCTCTCCATAGTGGTTGGACCAGTTTGCACTCCCACCAACAGTGCAGAAGAGTTCCTTTTTCTCCACACCCTCGCCAACATTTGTTGTTGCTAGTTTTTTTAATATGTGCCATTCTCACTGGTGTAAGATGGTATCTCATGGTAGTTTTGATTTGCATTTCCCTGATGACAAGTGATGTTGAACATTTTTTCATATGCCTGTTGGCCATTTGCATTTCCTCTTCAGAGAAGTTTCTTTTTAGCTCTTCTGCCCATTTTTTGACTGGATTATTTTCTTTGTTGTTGTTGAGTCTCATCAGCTCTTTGTAGATTTTGGTGATCAGTCCTTTATCATTAGTGTTGTGTGCAAAAATGTTCTCCCAGTTGGTGGGGTTTCTCTTTGTTTTTGTTATTGTCTCTTTTGCTGTGCAGAAGCTCTTAAATTTGATGTAGTCCCAGCTGTTTATCTTTGCCTTCACTATCACTGCTTTGGGTGATGTGTCTGTAAAGATGTCTTTGATGTGAATATCATGCATGTAAACAGTAAATTCTACACATAGAGCTATGTATTTCTTCCTGTAAGAAACATTGTATGGGAAGCATCCCTAATTCTTAATTTGCAGGCATACCTTTACAGAACAACAATCAAATGGTCTAACTTACGTTGATTACAAAAGAAAAATTCCAACCACAAGAATCACTGAGGTCACCGTTTATTCTTGAATAGATACAGCATGGCACTGCGTCCTTGACAAGGAATTTCATATGTATACAATTGTATGGCTCTCTGGAAGCCTTGTTTCTTACTGCAAAGAACAGAGAACAAATGAATTTAGTGTTAAAAAATTAAACTAAGGGGTCCTCCCTGATGGTGTAAAGGGTTAAGCATAGCACTGTGAAGCTGTCCACAGCCTCTGCAGCAGCAGCTCAATCCCCAGCCGTACAGGGAGCTACCCACATGGCACAGCAGACCTCTCCTGACTTGCCCACTGCTCCCCTCAGCAGTTCATTTCAGTAGATCACCTGTTCCTTTACCCACTCTGTTTCTGGTGAATCCTCTCACCCCTCTGTATCTCTGGCCTGTACCCCAGTTCTTATATGCATAAATAAATAAATCTTTAAAAAAATAAAAAATTGAACTAAAGACCTCAATAAAAGAAAAATAAAGGGGATTGGGACTGGGGAGATATGCAGTGAAAAGGACCATCATTGAAAGCCCTCCACATGCTCCCTAACTTAAAGGAACAACTCAGTCTTCTCTTTTCTGGACTGAGTAACTGCATTTGAACATACACTGAACATCCTGCCCAGGAGTTGGCCGGGTTGTGATCTAGTGCTGCCTCTTCTGTATGAAATTAACCTTTCTTAACCTTTGTTGCTTTATCTATAAAAGGGGTAAGAGTGGCACCTATCTTGTAAGATTGCTCAGTAGATTAAATGAAATCCTGTAAGTGAGGTACATAGCTTCATGCCTGGGCAATAGGAAACACTCAATAAATTACAACAAGATTTCAAAGAAATAAAAATACCCAACATAGCATTTCCATTTTTGACAGAGAGCCCAGAGTGATCATAAGATATAGCACTTAATTTTGCTTTAGTCCTTACAGAATTTTTCTCTCCATTATCATAGTGGCCTTTCAAATGTCTGCCTAAATCAGAGCCATTTGTTTTAGATTAAAAGCTACAGATAGGAGGCTATCAAACTAGCTCTGCGAAGCAGCAGGCAGAGTCCTAAGGCCCAAGGGTCTGGATGAGATAAAGGTAATTAAATCACAAGGGTAGTGATTTCCAGCCTGCAGCTTAGCCTGTGCTGGGCACCATGCCGGATGTTGGCCAGACCTCGCTACCAGAGGGCAAATGAAGTGGAAATTTCAGTTCCCCAAATACTGACGCAAGAAGGTGAGAGATGGTTGTTGAGAGGGACATGAGAAAGTCTCCAGGAGAAAGAGGGCTGGAGAAGTACAACATTCTCACTTACGTGCTCCTGTCCTTAACATATGTTTACCTCTGTGTCTTACTACGTGACACACACCGTGCTAGACATTTCTACAACCTGCCGTTACCCTCTTATTTATTGTATAGATCAAACAGCCAGGATTCAGAGGTAATAAATTGCTTGCCCAGGATCATACAAAGATAGCAGCAGAGGTGGCATATGTTGTTTGCAGTAACTGTTATGGTAACATGAGCCATGGGCTTCAGAAAGACCAGGTGAAGTTATGGAGCTAAGGAGAAACCAACTGCTTGCAGATCTTTTAGCAGCAGTTTCAGAAAGTTCCACTTGGCTGGTATAGCTGCATTTGCATTGAAAAGTCATTGGCATAAAGAAATAAAAACCCTAAGAGATTTCATGTGGGTGATTTGTTGCTACAGAAACAACTTCCTTGGGACTTGATGGTTACAGGCCTAACAATTCTTGCGTTCTGTGCAGGAAATGGCATCATTATGTAGAACTGAAGGAATGCAGATTTGCCAGGCAGGGATACAGCTCATTTAGTTCATATACAAGATAAAAAGAAACAGTTTGTGCAATTGCTGCACATCTGTGAGAATTTTTTTTTAAATAGAACTTCTTTTATACAATTAATTTTATGTCTTGACTTAGGCCTTTGTTGTTTTCTAATATTTATGCCTCCTCACCACTTATTCTGTTTACTGACTGCACAATTTGCAATCATTTTAGAAAAGGAGTTGTGAGACGGATCACTTTTTTTTTTTAAGATTTATTTATTTATACAAAAAGTGGGGTACAGGCCAGATATGCGGGAGGGTGAGAGAATTCACCAGAGACAAAGCGGGGAACAGAACAGGCAGACTGACGAAATAACTGCGGAGGGGAGCAGTGGGTGAGACAGGAGAGGTCTGCACTGCCATGTGATCGAACCGGCACTGCAGAAGCTGCAGACAGCTTCACAGCACGGTGCTCAACTGCCTGTGCCACCAGGGAGGCCCAAGACAGATCACATTTAAAAGCTATCTTGCAGAAATATTTTCAGATTTTGCATTTTCCTCTACGCACCCCGCCCCCCAAATTCTGTGCCTGTGGAACTAGATTTGGCACCTAATGCATGCCCTGTGGAGACTATTTTCCTCTTGTGGAGATTGTCCCTATAGTTACCACTATCAAGAAGATGGTGGAATTTAGGCTTATTGGTCAGGGCCCATGCAGTATCAGAATCCCAGAAATGAATGACTAAAAGTCTGCATTTCACTTTTGCTATTAAGAATTTCTTAATAAGCTATCTATAAAAGGGAAAATTTTGTGTGATTTTACTTTGTGAAATAGGTACCTGAAATAGGAGAACTCATAAGGACAGAAAGTAAAGTAGGATGGTGGCTTCTAGGATCTGGGTGGGGGAGAAATGGGAAATTATTGTTTAATGGGTACATGGTTTCAGTTTGAGGTGATGGAAAAATTTTGGAGATGGTCAGTGGAGATGATTGTGCAAATACTTATTGCCACTTAAGGAAGAGTTGAAGTGTTAAGTTTCATGTCTTCTATACTTGACCACAATATAACTACTTCTTCATAGTGGCCCATTATTATCGAGTCAGTGAAGCAACTTCAGAATCACCTTTGCTTCCCCCTCACTTTCACATGTAATCAGGTATCCGGACCACATGACAAATAATCTGAGTGTGAAAGATGGCTCCTCCAAGGTGGTAAACCAAACCAAACATGTAAGTGGGCATAATAATTTGCTCATTATTGCAATTAAGAAGTGAATTTTTCCTCTTTAACTCATCTACAACATGTTTATCTTTACCTAAAAATTTCTATTGAGGTGAAATCTGGAAAGCTGCAAACTATACTACTAGATGAGTTTCTATGAGTAAGTATTGTGAACAAATCATCTTAAACACAATGAAAACATTTGAGTGCGTATTTTATGTGTCACTATACTTTTATTTAAGTCAATTGGGACTAGCAATTGGGTTCCCCTGAGCTGTTTCAAAGGTGTCCAGGATTCCAAATATTTTGTCTCTCTTTCATTCTGATACTGAAGTGATGAGAAGTCTTCAGGTCACTTCAATATTCCTGAACACTGAAGGCCCTTGAACAACCAGTCTTTCTTCATCAAGACAGCATATCTATTCTTTTTTTCCCTCCTCCCTCTGTCTTTTCCTCCCTCTTTTTCTTCCTTCTTTCTTTTTAACTTACAAGTCTCACTTCTATAGATAGCATCCCCTTATTAACCCTATTCACCCTGTGTTCTTTGTGGTACCTAGCATGCAAGTCACAACATTTGCAAGTTCTAGTTAACTGGAAAGTAGGTGGTTCACATGGAATGATTTATCAAAAATAATTAATGTTTAATATTAACAAGATTTCATGGTAACTTTAGCTGGGATTAATGTTGCCTATTGTACAATTAAGAACAGTTAATATGAATCATAACAAAATATCAATGGAAGAATTTTTAGCCTTTGCTTTCAAGCCTTTTTTCATATGTAAAACTTGGACAAGAAGCAACACAACATATAATTACATAAAGTATACAAGTTATCACTTGTCATAGGATTGCTGAATCTGAAAATTTATTTTAATGTCAAAATTAGGTTAACGCAGTTATTATGTTTTCTCTAAACATTTTCTTTGCTATAAGGCAGTATGCTTATCTAACTCTTTCACATCATGGTACACAGGGAACACAATCATCTTTGTGCAGCGTGCTGGTGTAAATGGACACTGCCTAGTTCAGGACCAGACTGGGGATGCTTTGCCCAGCATTACCAGTGGCATTTGCATATCTGAGCATACTTGTAACCCAGTCATGACTGAGGAGTTCTTGTCTAGAAAATGGAAAGGCTCAGATCTGTAATCAAACTGTGTTTTCAAGTAATTCTCTGCCCCTTAATTTCCTCATCTGTGAAGAAGACTAATATGTTCTACCTCACAAAGTTAGATCATATGTGTGAAATGCTTGGAAGTGTGCCTGCCACACAGTAGGAGCTCAAAAAATGTTGTCTTATACTTAAACCTTGGGATTATATGAATATGAGCAAGCCAGATTATAAGGAATAGAAAAGTACACAAAATTCCCAGGAGGTGAGTGGGTGCGTCACTAGAGAAAACCCTAGATTGTTACTATGGAAATCTCTGCTTTCTGTCCTAGGAAGAGTATCAAAGCTTAACTAGAGTATGGCATACTTTTTTCAAAAGAATAATTCCAGATATGTAACAGATTTCAATGGACAAATAGGATCTAAATTATAGATTTATTACACAGATTCCAATTTCCGTAGTGGATCTCTTTTCTACATAAAAAAAAAAAAATCATTTACATTTCTTTTAACCACACCAGTATGTCCTCAGTAAGAACCTAATATGGATATTGCAATACAGTAATATAATGTAAAACTTTATGCATTTGCATGTGAATTTCATGAAATCACTTCATGAATTTTACTTACTTTGAAAAGGGCCATAATATATAAATGAAACAGACTACTTGTAGAGGATTATTGATACTTAAATATTAAATAGAATTTAAGTCATAGCTTTGTTTTCTTTCGAATTTACTCATGTAACTAGCACATCATTTGGTCAATTCATATGTTCTGTGGTAAAGGGGAAAATTTAATTGCTACTTTATTTTCACTAGATAAAATTAGAAAAATTTTATCCATATCTATAATTCCAATACATCTTGTACAAATAGCAAAAGGTTAAGATGCTGCCATTGCATATCAGCGACAAAAAGATAAGCACCATAATAGGAAACTGAGCAAAGGATGTGAAGAGGGAGTTAATTGATGTTTCTCCTTCTTTCTCTCTCTTACTAAAGACATGCACACATACACAATTAAACAAGAAATGACCACATTTTAATGAAATATGAAAATTTCTAACATGCAAGAACATTTTAAAAAACAGAACTAGGGCCTCTTCGGTGGTGCAGCGGTTGAGTGCTGGGTTGTGAAGCTGCCTGCAGCCTCTGCAGCGCTGAATCTATCCCCAGCCACCGGGCGAGGGTCCCACATGGCGTGCAGACCTCTCCTGCCGCCTGCTGCTCCCCTTAGCAGTGTACTTCGTCAGTCTGCCTGCTCTGCTCTCCCCTCTGGCTCTGGTGAATTCTCTCACCCTCCCGCACTTCTGACTGTACCCAGTGCTTGTATAAATAAATAAATAAATCTTTAAAAAAAAAAAAAAGAACTAAAAGTAAAAAAAATACCCTATCGACTACTTTCATTATACTGAACTCTGTATCAACCTTAATGAATTGTTTAAAATGTTCAGAAAGTTTCTGTTAAATTCACAGGAAATTAAATGTTCTTGTTTTCAGTAATCCAGAGAAAGAAAGATCTTCTGGTGTGACATAATTATGAGTATTTAAATTATATTTCCTGGCATTTATATCACATATATAAAAAATTAAGAGTCTATATTTTTGAATATTTATTAAATCCAATAAAAGAAGAAAGTCACACTCCATCCATGTATGCCAGATGCTGGCAATACAATGAGAAAAAAGACAAACAGCAAGACAAATTGCCTCTGAGACAGCATAAGCTTTAGGTATACATTAGGAGGCATCTGTAGGACTATGAAACATTTGATTTGCACACATCTGCTTCAGCTGAATGCTAATCAGGATCCCTGGTCTACTCCAGGAAAGAGAAGAAAGGCAATTGTGCACAGGCCAGGGACACAGAGAGACTTTTTCCAGCCTCTTCCTCGGCTGTGAAATGGCAAATACCATTCAAGTACTGAAGAGCACTGATACTGGTGATTTCACTATTGACATTTTAAAGGCTTAGGAGCCAGGAATTCTAGCTCATGACTGTGAGGACAGGGAACACAGACCTAGAGGGAAATCAGTGCCAAAGTCCATTTAGTGACACCTCCCCCAAGCAAATACAGAGCAGAGACAGAACTCTTTCTGTTCAACTGACAGATCAGGTAAGATTCTTCAAGGCTTATTTTATCATCAGTCCTCTCAAGATAACCTTAAGTAAAAGTTATACAAAATACCGATCTTAGGCACACTGAGACAGATTCATTTCAGAAATACCCTGCCAACATGTCATCAAGAACACCTTTTTGTGTTCTTTTTTACTGCAACTACAGGTCTGTTTAGTCTTGTTTTTGTTTTCCTCCTCCTCCTCTGTTACTGGGGTACCCCAAAAGGCCCAGCCTTTATCTTTATCTACAAAATGCTGTGATTTTTATTCAATCTGTGAAACAGCAAACATATGAAAGATACAAAAGCAATCCCTATGTTTGGTATAGTTCAGTGAAAATTTTTCAAATAAGCATGTTTTGTGAATGAATACTTAAGTAGCCTGGAACTTAAAAATTATATTTCTTAGGAAAACTCTAATTTACAATTCCCTTTGATGATTACACTAATAATGAGTAGTCGTCTCTCTCTTATAAATGTAATAAAGCATATAGTTACCTGTTGGTAACCCAGGAAGTTTCTAATGAGTCCCAGGAGAAAAAGTAATTCCCAAAGTTCTTTTATGGCGTGAGCATACTCTATATGCAAATTTAAAACCAGATTTAGAGAAAAGCCTGTTTTAGGCCTCTGTTACAATGGAGTATGCTGCTGTAAGGAAGGAATGGTCAGCCAGAGCAGACTGCGGGAAATTTAGAACAGAGAGCACTTCCTGAGAAAGGTGCTAACAAACCCAGAATTCTGATTGGCCTTCTGAGGAAATATGCAGTGCTTCCTGCATCCCATTTTAGAAGCCTGGGGCAGATGAGTCATTATTTAAATTTGTTCCATCATAATAGATCTCCTTAGCTACCTCTCAATGATCTGTAAATGTGGGAGGTCATCAGTTTAAGTTGTGGACAGTCTTTTAATGTCTGCTCCTTCTCTGTAGGTGATCTCACCCATCTCAATGACTCCTAAATTTACTACTCCTAAATGGGTACCTCTGTCCCAGACTTCTAAATTCTAGACACGTGGAACCAACTGTCTACTGATACTAGTAATTCCCAAAGTCCTTACAAGGAGTGAGTTTAATGTACAATTATAACAGATCTGAAATAGAACTCTTGAATGTCTTCTGAAGCCTATTATTCCCTCAGTCTTTCTGACTATAAAAGCATTTACTTAACTGCTCAAGTTGGGTTACCTTTAGTAACCCCTTTTCCTATCTTCCATATATAATTCATTAATTTTATCACTTGAATCTATCTTTCCTTCCCAACCTGCCTGTTCTCTTTTTCTTATCTGGGCAGTAGCCTTGCAATTTGTCTCCAGGTTTGCCTTCTTGATCCCTTCATTCTCCCTATTCCACCAGATTTACTTTTTGAGAAATAAGAATTTCAAGTTTATAGGGAAATTGTAAGAATAGTGCAAATAACTTTATTTTTCAGAACCTAGTTTCAAATATGAGAGTCTTTCATTATCTCTGAATTCTTCAGCACTTTTGCCATCAGAATTATTAGTACCATCTGATACAAAGAACCAATCTAAAATTTTCAATTATTTTAATACTGTCTTGTCTAATCTATGACTATAACTTGTGTAAGGAAAGAAGGGAGTATATATCAGACTGCAGTGTAGTTCTGTGAAAATCTCAGCCAGATGGATGAGGTGTCTCCAGGAAAATGAACCCCACATCAGGTAAGAATGGACAGGCACAGTTGCCTCCATCATACTGTGACTGGCTGGGGGCAGCCTGGCAGAAGTGTGATTTCAGTCTTCATGGGCACAGCTGCAGAAGTGTCATTCAATCAGGTGAGGGTTAGAGAATTCACCAGAGCCAGAGTGGGGAGCTGAACAGGCAGACTGACGATATACACTGCTGAGGGGAGCAGTGGGCACAGCAGGGTAGGTCTGCGTGCCATGTGGGACCCTCGCCGGCCAACCGGGGATCGAACCTGTGCTGCAGAGGCTGCTGGCAGCTTTGCAGCCCAGAGCTCAACCATTGCGCCACCAGGGAGGCCTTCTACCACACTCTTTTGAAGTAGATCTCAGCAGGGTGTGTCCATACTCATCACAGCGGGGGTACAGTTTTGGTGTTAGAATTTCTGATGTTTACTTGCCTGAAGCTGGTGCCAGACAGATTTCTCTACTATATGTAGTGACTGAGGGCTGATTTTCTATTTTCTTTATTCCTTCTAGACTTAATAATTGTCATTTTTTTTTGTAGTTTTCTCTTCTTCCCACTTACTAATTTATTTTTGATAAATGTGAACTCAAATAGTTTTATTTGTAGGTTATGACTTATTATCATCACTTATTTGGTGCTCAAATTGTCCTAGATTTGGCTAGCCACAATCCTCTCAAGCCAGTTCTTATATATTTTTTAAGATGTTCTATTATTCTTTGAGCATTTCTTTCAGCACAACCAGCTCCAGTGGTTTTTGTTGATTTCAATGCTTTGTAACATTTCAAATCATTATCACTCTCCCCATCTTCAAACCACTCATAATTAAGTCATCATATACTCCAAAGAAGACTTCACAGCTTCTTCTGTCTTCTTGACACCCTTTTTCAACATTTGCCACATTTACTTTCTATGCCAAATTTTACCTTTTCTCATTTTTATTTTTAATGTCTTTCTTGTGGCCTTCATTTCTCCCCAGGTTAGTCTTTATTCAAGTCGATAGTCTTGACTTTCAATTCCTTCTAACTTCTTGAGAATAATTTAAAATGCAGACTCAATCAGCTATTATCCAGGTGAGGGCACTGAGCAGAGAGGCACTAAGTAACTACTTAACTTCTCAGGAGCACATATCCAAGAAGCGATGGCACTAGGATTTGAACCCTGGCAGCTGGCTCAAGAGAGGGCACGCTTCAATAACGCACTGTATTACCTTAAGTACTTGAGCAGAATAGCTACTAACTGTAATGTTTTAATAAAAGGATGACTTCCACCAATGCAAAGAAAGGACTAGAGGTTCATTTTACCTATTTTTCTAAGTGCACTTTTCCCCCTTCTTTTTTGGCTTTGTTACCTTCATTCTTTTTCTTCACCCCATCCCATTAACACACCACCCCAGCCCTCTGCCATCCCTAAAGTAATCCATCTTAAACTAACAGGATTCCTTCCATATTTTTCTTCCTATTCATTTCACCCTATGTGGGAAAGCACATATTCACATGCTCAAAAATTCATATAGAAAGTTACATGCATAGAAAAGGGACAGACCATCTCCTCAAAAAAGCAGTATTTTTACTTAGTTTTCTGCCTCTTGTTTCATTCATAAAACACTACTTCCTGCAACTCCTAACTTATTGGTATATAACTAGTTCTTCCTTTCCAGTGACTGCTCAGCTGCCATGTGGGTATACTCTAATCTATTCAGCCACTGACCTCTGAACTGCGCTCACTGTGTTTACAGTTGTTTGACACTTAAGAACAATGCTGCAATTAATACTGGGCATCAGGAATGCCAGTGGTAGGATGTGAATCAGCCAGCTATGAATTCCTAGGAGGAAGTTTGCAGGAAGCTCTCTGTATATGGTCTTCGTGAATTCTCTCCTGCTCTGCAGGGAATACTCAAGCCATTCAGTTTCTTCTCAGCTTCTTGGAGAACAAGGAGAAGTGACATATTTTGACGAGGCTAATATCAAACTTCAGTTCAGAAGCCCACAGATTTCACAGCAAAGTCACCCCAGGATGTGTAGCTTTTCAAAGTCCTTCCTCCATGCTTGTGCCAGTCTGTGTAGGAGAAAAAGGGTTTCTACAGAAAACTGCAGTTTTCTCTGCCAAGACCCCCTGCCAGAAAGCAAAGCCTCATCTGCACCCAGCAGACTATAGACACCAGCAGACAAGTGGAGGGAAGGAAGATGCCCTTAAGTTCAGAATCTGTCCCAAGTCCATCTAAAAACTGAATCACTGTTATGAAACCTCTCCCAAGCAAAACCTTTCTATTGTATATTGAAAATATAAATATGATGACACAAAATCAGCTAATTAACTTAAAATCAGAGTAAGGAGTTGAAAAATTTAGTGGAAAACTATTCAGTTCCCTGTCATTGCTGCTGAGGTCAGTGCAGTACAGCACTCTTAGAAATAATGAGTATGAATCAGGCCATGCCTCAAAACATTTCTATTGAGAATGGCTTTATAACTAGTAGAAACAGGATCAAAGAAAGCCACTTGACTTTTACTACTCTATGGTGGCCATGAATTTTATGAATCATCGGGTTAATAAACTACGTTAAAACATACCACTCATTGTATACCTACTCTAAGAATTTTATAATTTTCAAATTATTCTATTTGGGTTCAATTTATATTCTATTCACTCTCTTCTATTTAGTTTCTCTGCATATTTTTTAAGCCTTCTCTGTATTTTTTAAGCCTTTCATCTAGCAGATCACACTACAAATTACTAGTTACTTTTAAAATGGTAATATCCAACAGAGTGTAAGTTACTCAATTTGGATAATCAGCTTTGCTGAAACACAGCAGAGTAAATACAAAATTACCATCTACACACATAATTGTAATATCACCATGCACATGCTAGCTCTAAAAAGTGTTCAATATTTAACTCATAATACAGTATACTATTAATGTGTGTTTCCCACACTCAGACATGCAGGAACCCTCAGCCAGAGAGAGGGAGCAAGGCAGAAAACAGCAGTGAGCACTTGCATGCACTACTGACTGACACAATGTCATCTCCCTCTCCACCACTGCAGCTGAAAGCGAGCTGCCAACATTTACTCCCTTAAGTGTCTCCATTTCTTGTTCTAACAATTTTAACCTAAAATGGCTACCGAAGGTTTACACTTGAGTATGGGATCTACTAGAAATAAACAAGAACAAGTATTATTCTGGGTGCCAAGATGAAAGTTTTATGGCAGCTGAATGCTCCCTGAAGGAATCAGTCATGAAAACAGGGTAGAATCAATAGAAAACTAGATTGGGGATGGTGTTTTGACATAATGAATGGTATCAGACACATTACAGCAACCTGGGACAAATGACTAAGAATCGTTTGACTGGCAGGTAGCATTTTATGACTTAGGGGCATTAGGGAAAAAAAAAAAAATACCAAAAACTGAAGCATGAGTACCAACATAAGACATCAAAATCATTGCTCCACAGGCCCTCTGTGATAACCATAACCATCTCTACCAGGTTGGGTTATTAGCATTTCTTAGCAATATACACTCCCTTCCTCCAGAATCTCTCCCTCCCATGGGACATGTCTCTATATGCATTACAGAGAGAAAGAAAGAGAAGAGAGAAAGAAAATAAAATATTACCTTTTATTTTCTCAGGCACACAAGTGATCTGGGATACCAATTATCAAGAGATTTTACTGATTAACCTTTAGAATAATCTATTGAAAATCTTCAGCTACCTTAGAAAACAGTTTGCAGCAATCATTTTGCAATTCAGAAAACCAAGTTATAATTTAGTCGTGGAGTAAGTTAACAGTTTCATTCAATATGTGAGGTGACTGAAACTCCTGAGTTTTAAACATCCTGTGGAACAGGTGATTCCTTCCCCTTCCTTGAAGGCTTTCCAATGTAAAAATACCAGCCTTTAAAAAAACAATATTCTAAATAGTTTATTATAACAGAAATAAGCAATGTCCAATCTTAAAAACAGACAATGGTATACTGCCCACCACTCTGAAAACAGTGAGCAGCCTCTGTCTGCAAGAGCATTCCATCACTGAGGCCATCAACATAGGTCAGTGCCAGGATCACCCTACCTGAGGCTCACATAAACCAAGTCAGTACTCGGTTTTGAACAGCATGGATTTACCATGCATCTAAGGATTTTCCTGTACTACCTGGCTCGCACCTAGTGACTTCCTCAAGCACTATCTAAAGATAGTGTCACGGTTAACAAAGATTGATACATGTAAGCCATAGCACCTTTTCCAAGAACAGTCCAAAGCAGCATTGCACATTAACAAACAGAAATGCGGGAATATGCTTGCAGCTACACCACCTAGTTACAGCAAGGGTAAATAAGAGTTACTGAACTTAACAGCTTCACAAGGAGGAAAATATCTTATTGTCAAACACTTGACCCTATCAAGGGAAGTCACTTTACAAGGGTTGGTGGTTATTGTCACAAAGTGTGTAAAAAGAGTATGGCTGGCTCTGCATAAACCCACATAGTCACTTCTGAAAATACACATTCTATAACAAAGATTTGCATCTCCCATTTTCATAAACCAAATAATATAAATTTCAAGTTATTTCACAAATCAGATCAAATTAAAATGGACATGAAAGCACTCAGTAAATTATTATATACATTTTTAAGTGGCTATTTTAAGATAATTTACATGACAAGATTGGCAAAGAGTAAACAAAATTATTGCCAATAAACCAGAAAAATGTGGAAAATTAAGGAAAAGACCTCCAAAATTAAACAGAACATATCTTCATCAGATTTGGAAATCATGTATACTGTATACTTTTGAAAATGTGCAAAAAGTA